GGACGCGCTGCCCGGTCCGCTCCTCACGCGGGCGGTGTGCGCCCTCCCGCCCCGCAGGCCTCATCACGAGCAGCCAGTCCGCGGCCTACGCCGTGAGCAAGTTCATCAGCGGGGTGCTCTCCGACCAGCTGAGCGCCCGCTGGCTCTTCTCCTCCGGCCTCCTCATGGTGGGCCTGGTCAACATCGTGTTCTCCTGGAGCTCCACGGTGACGGCCTTCGCCGGGCTCTGGTTCCTCAACGGCCTGGCACAGGGGCTGGGCTGGCCGCCCTGCGGGAAGGTGCTGCGCAAGGTGAGTGGATGCCGCGGGGGCGAGCGGAGCGCGGCGCGTGCCCGGGGCTCGCCGGGCTGCATGCAGGGCGCTGCGGGAATGCTTGCTCCGAGGCCAGAAGAATTCACAGCTATTCCTGTCCCCGCCGAGCCGGGAGCTCTAAAACACCAGCTGCGCTTTCTCCTGCCTTTGAGCCAGATTCCCTGCACCAGGTCCTGTGCATCCTTGCAGTGGCTCAAAGAGCACCTCAGCCCCTGCCTTCGCAGGCCCTGATTCCCACTCGGGCTGATAACTAATGTCACCCAGGACTGGGACTGCTCAGCTGTGAGGAGCACCGGGTGTAAGGGTGAAGGTCTTCTAGCTCCTTTGCTGTTGTCGTCATCTCGTGCTGGGAAAGAAACCAGTTGCTTTGCACTCCCCACGAGCTCAGGGCTTGCAAATTGCAGCCCCTCCAGACAGGATAGGAAGTAACGTATGGAACAGAGTGGGGCAGGCTGTAGGTTTGGGGGTATGCGGGTGTTAAATGACCTAAATAGAGCAAACTGGTTTGTGCTTTGTGCCATCGGGGATAGAATTTGAGCTGTACACAGCTAAACCTTGCTGCTTCCAGATCCCAAGAGGCACTCAGCACTCAGGCCATCTGCGTTCCCTCCACACCAACTTGGTGGGAATTTCCCCGTGATGATAAAACACGTTATTCTCGACTGCATGCCAGACATGCGGAAGGATGTAAAATCCTGGAGCGCACACACTTGCAGGAAAGGAGGACATGAATAGCTGTATTGCCCTTCTACGAGGCCTCTAACATAACAAGTTGGAGGGAAGAAAACAGACTTTCTGACAGAGTTTTGTAGGTCTAGAGGAGCTCGTGGATAACGGTAACGATACGTACGGTGTTTCCTGAAACTGCTCAAGAGCTTCGTTCTCGGTTGCTCTCCGACATTTTCCTGTCAGCAACCGTAACGCAAGCGGTTCTGGTTTGGATTACACCTTGCAATGCAGAGCTGATCATGCCCGACCCTTCATGCAACAGCAAGTCCTAGAGTTACACTGTGGCTCTCTGCTTACCCGCTATGGTGCTGTGCCAGCGTTTCCAGGAGGACACCGTTCCTAGCCAGGGAGCATGCGGAACTGTGCGCTCTTAGATTTGCCTGGCCCGTGTCTCAGTTTCTTCGTCTGTAAATGGAAATTGCTCTGAGTTGGCTCATGGTGCAAACACCTGTCAAGCTCGTGTAACGTTTGGCGTTTCCTGCAAGAATAAGGAAAAGCAGAGTCTCACTTTACTCTTTATTTAGTTTTGTAGATCTGAGTCTGACGCACCCAGAACCCTCAGCACGGGCCGTTATTGAGGATTTTCAGGTGCCGCATCACGCTCTTCTGCAGACCTCATGCCGTTTTTCTTGTTGTTGCACAGTGGTTTGAGCCTTCCCAGTTTGGGACTTGGTGGGCAATCCTGTCTACAAGCATGAACTTGGCTGGGGGCCTAGGCCCCATTGTCGCTGCTCTCGTGGCTCTCCACTACGATTGGCGTATGACTTTGTCCTTCTCTGGCTTCATCTGCGTGGTTGTCTCTTTTGTTTGCCTTGTCCTCATAAAAAATGAGCCGGCGGATGTTGGGCTCCCCAACATCGAACAAGGAGCCAAGAAAGGGAAGAAAGGTGAGCATGGGACTTCTGTTGACCCCTGCCTCGCGGTGGACTCTGCTCAGTGTTTTTTTGTCCTCACCGAGAACATCTAGTTAGTAAATGTTTGTTCAACCCACTGAGCGTGATGCTTCTTTGAAAGCAAAACAGGTGGAGGGGAATTGCAACACCAGTTTGCTGTAGGTTTTTAAAGGCTAGCGAAGCTCAAAGCATCTTCTGTACTGCCTAGTGATACCCGTGCTACCAAAGGTGACCTCTTAGTGTAAGAAAACAGTGTTGTTTTCCCACGGAGTGCTTTGGAGGAGGGTAGATTGGTAGATGTCTCTGCAGGACCGAGGTAAAAACAAGGTAGCACTTGAAAACCAGCATCTTTGCTGTGTGCTTCCTCTCACAGAGCGAGCTAAAAAGAGGGGGAAAAAAGAAAGGAAAAGATAGGACAAAATCAGGACAAGTAGGTCCTTTTTCCAACGCAATGGTTTATTGGCACCCATGATTCAGGGAGTAGCATACGGCTTGTTCCTCTGAACACCTTAGTGAGTATGAAGCAAAGTGACAGCAAGTTCCCGAAGCGACAGCAGGCGCAGGGCTGGGGCAGATCCGCCGCTCGCGGTGTTCCCTGCCCTTAGGGTGCCCCGTGCGGGATCCGTTCGCGGGGATGCTTCGTGCTGCCCCGCGCTCGGGGGCTCTGCGGCCCCGCGCTGACACTCCTGCTCATCTTCCTCGCAGGGTCCCCCGGCGACAACAGCACCTTGGCGGAGCTGCTGCTCTCGCCCTACCTCTGGGTGCTCTCCACGGGCTACCTGGTGGTGTTCGGAGTGAAAACGTGCTGTTCAGACTGGGGACAGCTCTTCCTCATTCAGGAGAGGGGACAGTCTGTGCTCGTGGGTAAGATGCGGAGCTCAATTTCTACCCCCATGGCCGCAGTTCTAGGGATGTTGCAGAGCTCAGCTGGGTGCAGGGAAGGGACATGGGTACCTCCCTCTGAGGGAGAACAGCAGAGACAGTCTGAAAACACAAAACGGAGCAACTCGTTGTGATCCAATCTGATGGACTGCTCTTTGCTTCCTCTGCTTTGCAGGTAGCTCCTACATAAGTGCCTTGGAGATTGGAGGTCTGGTGGGCAGCATTGCTGCTGGGTACCTTTCTGACAGAGCAGTGGCAAAAGTAAGTAGAAGATTCCTTTCTTTTCCTGTTGTTATTTTTTCCCCCTTTCCAATCCCTGCAGCAGCCGTGGAGCAGAAGGCCTCCCTCTGAGCTCGTTATGGTGCCCTGGAGATTCGCAATCCCCAGAAGGGAGCAGGGAGCGAGTTGCGGCCTCGTGCTGGCAAACAGCCGCTCTCATTTTCTGTCTCCCCGAGCTCTTCTTGGGGAGGGCTGGTTTAGATGCTGAACGGCATCCCCAAGAAGAGCCCTGCGGGTGTCCAACCTTGCGTTTCCCTTCCCGCGGGGCAGGTCGGTCTGTCGAACTACGGGAACCCTCGGCACGCGCTGCTGCTGGCCATGATGGCGGGAATGTGCGTCTCCATGTTCCTGTTCCGCGTCACCGTGACGGGAGAGTCTCCCAAGGTAATCCCTGCGCTGGCAGCCGGAGCCCCCGGGCTGGTGGTGCCGGCTCCTCTCGTCCTGCGGGATACACGGGGGAGAGGGCGCCAAGGTTGTGGCTTCCTGCAGGAAAACGGGAGAATGGCAAGGGGAGCTGCTCGCCCTTCTCACTGAGGGGCTCACGATATTGCCAGTCAGTGCAGAAGGGGCAGCTCCGCTCTTTCCAAGGTCGATCTACCTTTTAAGAAAGCATTCTGCAGCATTAATTGTAATGGTAGGGTTTTAACGACAGCACAAGCTGTGTAGAGAAGAGGGCCGGTTACATTTCAACTTTAAGGTCAAATGTCAAGAAACGGTGTGTTTGGATTCTGACTGTTTGTAAGTGATAAAATCTTTGCGGGGTTGCAGGGCTAACTCCTTAATGGTGAGGAACTTTGTAAGAGGAAGCCCGGCTGGTTTCCTCACCCTCCCCCAGAATGGTAGGTTTGTGTTTCCTTCGTTGGCACTGCAGGAAAGTGCATTAACTTTGTCCGTGTTAGATGGCTGGGGCCAACCTGCCGTGCTGCGCACGTGCCTCCTTCCATCATTCCCGAGTGATTGCTAACCAAGCATTTCTTCTTTTCTGTTTCTTTCTCCTCTTTCCTTCATCAGGAAACTGATGTCTGGATCGTTGCCTTGCAACCTCTAGCTGATCTTACAGGCCTAAAAGAACAAGAGGTTTCTGCTTTGCATTTCTTTCTCCCTCTCCCTGTTTCTGATACGTCCTTTTCCTATCCTGGAAGGTTGGTTAGCGCTACATAACTTAAAACCAGGGCATTGAGGAGATTATTGTAAGTCTTGTAAAAGAAACGTCTTCCTCAACGCGTTTTACGGGACTAGCTGAACTTGAAAAAGTCAGCATGTAAAACTGGGGAATTTGTGCATCAAAGCCTCTGAGGATGTTTGCGCATCGGGTTCAAGGCCCCGTAGATGAGGCCCAAGACCTGAAGTCGGGGGCACAGCTTCTGTTCCTGCAACAGTCTTCCCCCTCTGTTTTCGCAAGCTCTTCCCTTACTAACTCTTCGTCCCTGTTTCTCATCTGGAAAATGAGGTGCTGTTTCTGCATAAAGAACCTTTGCGAAATCTTAGAGCTATACAGAAAAAAATGCATGAGTGCAAGTATGAGTGACAGTGGGAAGATGTGGAGAGCCCTGTCTGATCTTTGTACTCCTGTTTTGGCAGCTGTGGATATTGATTCTCGGAGCCGTGTTTGGCTTCTCTTCGTACGGCCCCATCGCCCTCTTCGGGGTGATAGCCAACGAAAGCGCCCCCGCCAACCTGTGCGGGACGTCGCACGCCATCGTGGCTCTCATGGCCAACGGTGAGTAGCGCCGGCGGGCAGAGGCAGCGGGCACGGGATGCCCCCGGGGACGCCGGCATGCGGGACCAGGCCCGCTCGGCTGCGCTCAGCCCGTGACACGTGGGTGTGTGTGGAGCTGAGCCCGTAGAGCAGCGCCGAAACGCGGGACATCGGTTTCCCGTGGACGAGGAACCGCTTTTAGGGCAGGCTGCTCACGGGTGTGTGCAGAAAGAGCAGTCAGGTCAAAGCAACGTTTGGGCATTACTCGTTAGATCCGCTGCCCTGGGAGCAGCCGAAACACTCCCAGCTGCACCTTGATGTGCCCTCGTGCACGGGTTGTTACCTCATGCTTTAAATTCAGATCCAGGCTGGAGGAGTTCTCATAAGTGCAGAGACGAGTCAAATAGGAGCGTTGGCAAAGGAGAGGGGGCAGTTCCAGTGTCACAGCAGTCTGTTTCGTGTCTTGCAGTGGGGGGTTTTCTGGCCGGGCTGCCGTTCAGCACCATTGCCAAGCACTACAGCTGGGCCACGGCCTTCTGGGTGGCCGAACTCACCTGCGCCGGCAGCACCGTGGCCTTCTTCCTGCTGCGGAACATCCGCACCAAGATGGGCCGCGTTCCCAAGAAGGCCGACTGAGGAGGAGCCGCGCGGTCCGGAGGGGGCCCTGACGCTGCCGTGAGCGATGCAAGGTTTTTTATTAACTGGCCTAGGAGCGTGTTACCTATTGCTGCAGCCTAGATAAAAGTGTCTCAATTTCTCATTCACTGCCACGTGTCTGGAGGTGCCCGTTTCCTCGTACCGATCCCCCTTTTCCCTAGAAATGTGACAATTCAGCTAGTTTACACTGGCAAACCTCTTACTATACCTCCTTTTTGCAGCTCTGCTGGTGAAATAAGCAGGTTTCGGAGCCTGAGCTACCGAGCTGAAAGTACTGTAACATGACTGGCCTCAGGTGCTGCTGTCACACTCAGTTTTGTCTCTCTGTTAGTCTGAACCATTAACAGTTCAGCCTCACTGTGCACTCAGCCTGTGCTGTGTCGATCCAGCTCCTTGAATCTCGCTGAACCTGAGGGTTTTGGGGGTCTGAGCCCCCTGCTACCCCTGCCCAGGAGCAGGGGCAGAGCAGCGTCCCGGGCGCCTTCCCTGCGTTACCTGATCAGGCTGCGCCGGTGCTGCGCGTGCCGCTGTGCCGGGGCTCCCGGCGCCCTTCCTGGAGGCTCCTGGCGCTGCGGGACAAGGCGCTCCGCGAGGGCCTCCCGCCGCGCCGTGCACGGGCCGCGTTAATGATTTCCAGGGCAGCTCGCGGGGCCGGCGCAGATCCCATGGGAAGAGCGACCCCGGGCTGCCCCCCGTGCAGAACCGGCCGGGTCTGTCAGCACGTCCTGCGCCGTGGGGTGCACGGCCAACACCGGGTCCCCCCGCTGCGGGGAGCAGTCCGGCCCCCTCGGACACAGAGAGCCGCCTCGAGCCCCAAACCAGCCCTCTGCGCGCCAAGGAGCTGCGGGTGCTTAACCAGGACTTTGGTGAACGTTCTTCCTTTTCTCCAGAAGGATTTAGTGTTTCAGGTTTGGGGAAGGAGCAAGTTCACCTCGTGAACAACCTTCTACCCAGATACTTTGCCGAGCAGCTTAGATGCCCTAATGAAGATAAGGGAAATTACATTTTGTACTTAATTGTTAGATCTATCGGTTGTGAAATAAAAATGAAGCGGTATCCAAACAGCTGTGGTTGTCCTATGGGGAATGCTGAAAGCAGAAGCCTCCAACCTGGATTATTCTCCAGGGATGTTTTCCGGGAGCTCTTGCAAAGCTGCCCTGACACCAGAAAACAAAGAGCCACCGACCTCCTTTAGGAATGTTTATTATTTCTACATAGAGCAACTTCGTGAAACCATAAGTTAGAGCTATACAGGAAAAATACATATGTACAGTTACAAAGTAAAACAGGACTGCAGTAGTAGGGGCCTCAAAAGTGCAACTGGTGTTTTTCAATCAGGAACAGCAGAGCTGCAAGAACAAAAAAAGCCTCTGTGGCCCCACCTAGACAGAACCAAGTCTGCCTCAGGTAAGCGTCACACGGAGGGTCGACGGGGTCGTTTGGGGAAGATGCAGCCACGGGGGGGAGGACAGAGCCCCGGGTGAGGCCAGGTGAGGAAGGGGGATGCTCCGCTCTCCAACACGAGAGTTTGTGCAGCCGGCGGTGCTTTTTCTATGATCCGGGCCCAAACGGTCCAGCCTTTTCTGCGACCTCCAAGGCGAGTTTCAAGTTCTGGTCGAACAATTCGCACCTGAAACATTCAGAAAAAAGGCGGAATGAGATGAATTCACCTGCACAACAGGCTATCAAAGACGGGAGCCGCTTTGCCTCCTTCCCCAAGAGATCCCCGAGTCGAGAGGAGTGACAGGGTGGCTCTGAGGTCAGATCAAAGGCTCTGGTCGGGGTTCTGGGGTGATGACGGGTCCTTGGGCCCATTTCTCAGGAGAGCAGCACTGCGGGACCCTGTAAGGGCCCTGGTCCTGCACTCGCAGCAGGGTGCTGTGCTCTGCAGCTCCCGGTTACAAGAGAGCTGTCAGCGTTTGTCAGCGCATGGGCGAGACCCCAGGAGATGCTGAGGCAACGTTCCCTATAGCACGTGGGCTTTGTCCTTACCTGATGGGCATTTCCAGCGAGTAGAAAGGGTTCTTCAGAGCGAAGTCGGAGTAAATCTCGTAGATCTTGCGCAGGAGGGCATCGATCCCGGTCTGCCTCGGGTCAGCGAGTACCACGAACTTGATCCCTAGGGCCAGAGGGGCGTAAGGAGGAGGACGCGGGCGGCAGCGCGCGGGGGCCGCCCGGGCCGCG